AGTAGTAGTAGTAGTAGTAGTAGTAGTAGTAGTAGTAGTAGTAGTAGTAGTAGTAGTAGTAATAGTAGTAGTAGTAGTAGTAGTAGTGGTAGTGGTAGCGGTGGTGGTGGTGGTGGTGGCGGCGGCAGCGGTGGCGGCGGCGGCGGTAGTGGTGGTGGTGGTAGTGGTAGTAGTGGTGGTAGTAGTAGTGGTGGTAGTGGTAGTAGTGGTGGTAGTAGTAGTAGTGGTGGTAGTAGTAGTGGTGGTAGTGGTAGTAGTGGTGGTAGTAGTAGTAGTAGTGTTGGAGTCTTTATTGAGCAAACTTTGAATTGGTCTTTGTTTTGTGCTTTTAGATCTCAGAACAGATAATGATCAGTATGCTTTGATATTAGTTTCCCTAGAAATTCCTCACAAAAAGGAGGCTTCATTGAATGTAGAATAATATCTTTAATAACCTGTTGCATTTTACAGATTAGTGATAAACAAACTTTAATCCTGTCAGCATTCTTTGTTTTTCAATGTACCAGTACTAATTTATCACTTTTTACCCATAGCTAACTTTGTGGCAGTGGGAACAATGGAACCACATGTTGATATCTGGGATTTAGACTTGGTGGATACACTAGAACCTGTGGTCTCACTAGGAAGGAGAAAAAGGAAAAAGTCAAAAAAGGTCAGGGGTCAAATTGTAAAACAGATTTTGAAATAGCATGACTTTCAGATTCCCATCTTGCATCATTGTGCAGTGCTCATGCCAGCTAATAACAGTTTTTCATTTGCAAATACAAACATGATTACAAGTTCCACATTACAAGGTATGCTCTTAATATCGAAACACAGGTTTAGTCACGTGGCTTTAATTTGACTGTGCATGTTTGTTTTGAGGTAGAAATCAAGACATTCTGAAGAAGGTCACAGTGATGCAGTCCTTGACTTATCATGGAATCATCTTCTGAGGTACATATTAAATAAAGCAGAATTTTATATGATCTTTGGTAGAAAAAGCTCTGTATGTTTGTCAATTACATGAAGCTTGAGTTGGGCAAAACGTAGCCTAGAGTATCCTGAACAGTGTATTAAAATAATATTACTGTGGCTGGGTTGATGGCATGGCACACAAGCCTGGTGCGTGTTTTTCATTATCATGTACATGTAGTCAGTAGGTAGTGCAACTACTGTAGTGACAAGTGTAGTGTATTACACGTTAACGAGGAAAAAAGCAATTAACTTGACGTTCATTTGTTCATTCCTTTCTGAACTGACCTTTTTTTTTCTTGATATAAGCATCCTTCATAGTTTGTTACCACCCTCTTGCTAGACACGACTGTTGCTGATTTTATGTAATAATATTTTAATTCTAACTTTCCAGGAATGTATTAGCAAGTGCATCTGCAGACCACTCTGTTATTTTGTGGGACCTCACACAACCAAAACCGGTACACACCTTAAGACATCACAAAGATAAGGTAATGTTTAAACCTTTGTAATGATAACAGTAGAGCAGCAACCAAGTCAGTCCAACAAATCTTCCTTTTAATAGCAAATTATCATCTGCATATAGCCCTGTATGACCAAATACCTGGAACAAATTTGAAAAGAAATAATTGATTTGTAGAATGCAATTTTGTATTGTTATTTTTTTCCACATTTTTATTTCCATTCAGCAGCTCACATCAATTTGTAAAAAATAGGCTAAAAATTAATAAATGGCTATTAAAAGTTTACATCAGTAGCTTGTGTCATACTACAAGTGACAAAAAGAGAAAACTACACAAGAAAAAAGACTACACAAGAAAAAATAAATTTTGTATTATACTATATATTGTCTTTTAGTAGAACATTTCTCCAAACTGATGAATTGTATATTATTTTGAAATATGTTCTTTATTTGTTTGTGATAGGTACAATCATTAGAGTGGCATCCTTATGAATCACAGTCTATACTTACAGGATCTTTTGACAAGTAAGTTTAATCTGGCTAAGTATTTTGATAGAGTGACGGGTGGGTGTGAAATAAGATGTAAAGAAGGGAAAAATGAGAAAAATGAGTGATCAATGCACGCTTTTTTGCCTTATCTGCTCTGCAATCTGTGCAGGAAATTATAGGCTGCATGCAGTCTTGAAAAGAAGAGGGAGTGGAATACGGTCGGTCCTTTCATCCCAAAGAGCCTGCATGAAATAAGCTGTACTTTCTGAGAATTTTAATGAAATTAGCGATTTCTGTTTTTTTTTTCCCCTTGCATTTCATGTTTCTTTTGGTATTTTTATTTTACAGGAAGGCCAAAGCGCTGGATTGCAGAAGTCCCGAGGTAACTCTCTTGTATTAGATATTGTTACATGTAGTTTGGTCTATTGTTGATCCGGCTGTAGAAACCAATCTATATTTTTGACCACTTTCCATAAACCTGCATCTAACAAGCCCCAGGATTGGGCTTGGGTGAGGGCTTTAAGAGCGAATAGCTGTCGAGTGGTACAGCAAAAAAATCGCCTTTTGTGTGATACTGTCATCCTTAAATGCGATCTCTACAGAAAATGTAAGGATTTCCTCAAAGACTGTTCGTTTTGTAAAAAAGACGGCATTTTAAAGCCACTTCATTAGGACATAGTTTAATCTACGGTACTTCTTATTATCCTAGAGCAACATCAAATCTTGGAAATTCGATGCAGAGGTGGAAAGAGTGCTGTGGAATCATTTTTCACCATACAACTTTTTAGTAAGTAGTCTTGCAATAAGTAAACTGAAGTTCAAACAAAAATGGGCAAGGTGCTTATGACAAAAACCATCTAGAGTATGTTTCTATATGCGTGCGCCTTTTGTATCTTAGGCATTTTGTGCTTTAAAAACTATTTTCCTTCTTTATCAGTCTGTGTTTAGGTCTCTGAGAAGTGTTTTAAGAGCATTTTGTAGTTAATCCGTATCTTATTGTTTTGTGTGCAGGTTAGCACAGAAACTGGTCACGTGTTTTGCTGTGACGTCAGAACAGACACGCCAGTGTTTACTCTTAAAGCACATGACGACGCAATACCAGGTGATGAATTTTCGGCTTTCCTTACCCCTACCCTCCCTTCTCGCTTTGACGACGTTGCCCGTGACGTTTGAGGCTTCCTGCACAAGTGATGTTTCATGGTCTCCAAGGCAACAGTCTGTATCTTAAACAGCTTGAAATGCTCTCTCGTAAATGTTTGTAATCCATAAGCGGTCAAGGAATCTCTTATAGCATCGCGGAGATTGAATCCACGATACAAATGGTCGCAAATCAAGTCAAGTCGAGACAACATCCGACGTCTTCTGTGCATGATAGCTGCAGAAAGCATAGTTAACTATGCAGAAAGAGATGAGAAGAGTAGACAAGGAGGGAACCAAGTTCCCCTCCGTTTTCGCTCAGTTTTGCTTTTGCTGAATAATTTCGCTTAAATACTTATCGTTCTTGGCCTGTCGCGCGAGCTACGCCCACACCCAAAGTTGTCACGTCAGCGTGTTATGTTACTTTGCCATTGCTCAAACGACTAGCAAATCTGTTTCCTCTTTTGTATTGGTTGTAGGACTTGCTCTAAGCAGCCAAGTTCCCGGATGTCTAGTCACGGCATCCGCCGACGAGACTGTCAAAGTCTGGGATATACAGGTAAGGCGACACTTGTGATGCTGACTCGTACCCAGTCGTCTTCAGTCAACGCGCGGCCCGGCGTAAGGTGAGCAAGAGGTGATGGGAAGGGAGAAGAGGAAAAGACGACGTCTCGCTCTCTAGCTTTCTCCCTACCCATCTCACCCTGCGCTCCCATCTCGCCCCATGCGGCGCGCTGTATGAAATTGTATGAAGACGACTGGGACGAGTCTACCAGTGATGTGGTTGTCTCGTACGAAGACATCTAGATGTTTGTTGACGGTAACATACCTTGTTTCCTTGTAGGATAACAAACCCTCATTCGTGGCATCCAGAAATCTTGAAATGGTAAGGAGATGAAGAACTTTGTCCTCAATATTAGAGTTTTCTTTTTAAGATGGTTTGATTACTGTCAATTGGTGTTTTCAGGGAAAGATTCTTAATAGCTGTTGCTGTCCTGATGCGCCATTTGTTTTCTGTTTCGGTGGCGAGAAGCAAGGTTTGAGAGTCTTGGATCTTACAGAGAGTAACCCAGGTAATTATCAATCAACACTTGAAGAATAATTTCAGTCAGTCAGTCCGTCCTTCCGTCCGTCAGTCAGTCAGTCAGTCAGTCAGTCAGTCAGTCAGTCAATCAGTCAGTCAGTCAGTCCTTCCTTCCGTCAGTCAGTCAGTCCTTCCTTCCGTCAGTCAGTCAGTCCTTCCTTCCGTCAGTCAGTCAGTCAGTCTATCAGTGTATCAGACAGTCGGTCAGTCAATCCGTCCGTCTGTCGGACGATGAAACTAATAACAGACATACAAACAGAGAGAAACGGACAGTCAGTCAGTCAGTTAGTCAGTCAATGTCGAGATAAGATTTTTCTTCCCGAATAAATTTGCACCGAACTTAAGTAACAGTGATTCATCTGCATTCAATAAATATTTAATGTATCACTGCGAATTAGTGTTTATTTCTTTCATCAAAAAAAGACTAAAACGAATTTAAATCTGAAAGAGAAGAGCCATTTTTCGTGTTTTTCCTTCAGGTGTTCGAGGTAACGTTCCTTCTTTAAACGTACTTTGCTAAGTGTTGTCTTTTGATTCAACCTACTTGCCTGACCCACTTTTATTGTATTCTAGTTCGTCGACATTTTGAAGCAAGGCAAAGACTGATGCCTGCAATTGTGAAAACCGAAAAAGAAACTGTAGAAGAGGAGCAGGAGGTACTCTTGTTTAGCTACCAGCTTTGTTCGTTTCTTTTACTGGAAGTTTTCTTTACATTGTCGAAATAAACTCGTTCAATCCTTTTCAGGTTGCCGACACTTTGGAACCATTAAAAGAAGTCAATCCTGAGCCCATGGAAGAAGAGTCTGCCGCTGACGCCATGGCAGCTTTGAGCCTGAGTGGGGCTATGAACAGCGGTCATTCAAAGAAAAAGAAGAAAAAGAAACGAAAATAAACCCAAATTAATTTTATGTATTTTACGTGTGGGAAACAGCAAAATAATGCCTTCGTTTCTTTGTTTTTAGGAAATACGAAAAGTATGCGAATAGGACGGGTGGAAATTGTTAAACCTGCCATTCGCACAACATACACCGACTCTACCTCGTTTTAGAAAGGATGTCCACTGAATGGAAGGACGAGTTGGTTTCACAGCTGGACAGAACAATCTCCTATGATCAACAACTGCTCTAAATGGAAAACACAGTTTTGTCACTCGATTCTCGTTTTATTTTCTGTACAAATTTTCACAGAATATTTTACAAAGCGCATAGATATAATAACAAGTGCTTTAACTTTGGATATCACTATTAAGAGTTCTCACAGAAAAGTAAACCGATGAAATTCTGAGTTACATACCTTCACCTTATTTATTCTTGCGTTAACTTTGAACTTGTAATGCGAATTACATGCACGTAAACCAAACAAAAAAGATTTCAGTCTTCCTCGTTGAAGACGAGGAAAGAATATATATATATGTGTGTTAATTTGCGAAGCGATAGCTTGGTGACTTACGCGGAACTCTCTCAAACAAGATGCCAATAAAGATTTTGAACAGTTATTGAACACGTGACTAAAACGTCATTTGTACATATGGATGATTGGCTAGTTTTGAATCACGTGTTGATAGACAGTGGAACAGTGATGTAATCGCTGTGCCTCATTCCGAAGCTGAATGTTGGTGCGGTAGGTTTGTTGTACACCACCTGGCAAGCGAGAAAGAGATGAAAATATTGTTAAGACAAAAATCAAGCAAACGTTTGAATCTATCCCTGTCTCTGCCTGCATATTTCTGTGAATTCCAACATGACACACTGTAATTTCCTTTTTGTTTAGACGATCGCATCATCAGGTGGAAACTATTAGTGAACATTGATATTGCCAATCATGTTTCTCCAGAATAGAGAAGGATTAATCTCTGGCGTATAAAGTAACGCTCGTGCTTGTCGCTTGATCGTATAAAAAAGGAAATTATTAGAATGAACGGCTGAAGCAAACTAGTTCTAGCAATGCCTAAAAGGATTACCGTTGTTGCCTTGATTATAATGACTAATATAATAAATTGCACAGGAATTAATTACCTGCTGTCAATCTACAGGGTGAGAGTTTTTGCTATCTCTCTAAGCGCCTTCACTTTGCTTTATCTATCCGTTTAGTACCGAGATTTACTAATTATTTTCCTCTACAAAACTGCCTACAAGTCCAGAAGCTACTAAAATAACAGAACACACTACTTTCTGGAAAATGGTTTGGCTTTATTCAAGTCTCGGCTAACTACATTTGAATTGGTTATTTAAATCGTCTGTCTAGCCTCGTAGCATGCTTCTACCACGCTTTTGATCCGTCGTCTTGTCACCAACAATTACAATTTCTTGGGAAATCCTCGTAGAGAATAATCGAACAGGTTTTTATTGTTTTGGCATGGGGTTTTTTCCTTCCAGTCAGAGCATCGCACGAGCTTCCTAAAGGGTGCTACTCCAACGACTTCCGGTCCCGCGATCTCTAAAATGGTACTTGGTCCTCAAGTAGGTTTTCTAACTACATCTTCCCTCCTGACACCTAAACACAAAATATATACTCCTGACTAAAGTGGTTCCTCTTAATCACTGACTCCTTGGCTCATTTAAGACTAATGACACATTTTCAAACTTAACGGTAGCATTGATCAGCGGTGACGCACACGAATAGGTGTTGTGAGGTGTGATCAAATGAAGTGCATGACGAAAACACGAAATTTCACTGCTGAAAACGGTGCTGGTGTGTTGAATGATTCTATGTAAGTGTACATAATCAGTTGTACGAGTTGGTGGAGAATATTTCATGGCATAGCATCAACCCGTCAGGAACTGCGTCACGATGACCCTCAAGATATGATGTGGCGATGACGTGATGACGTAAATATTTGTCACAGTGTATATACGGAAGTGGCGAAAGTGAATTATCACGTCATAAGTTGGAGAAAGTGAAGGCTGTTATTAGCTTAATGGAATTGTTGGTTAGTTACGCCCTTTTAAATGCCATTAGTACGAATCGACAACAATAATGAAATGGTTTGCAAGAGCTGAGTGACGCCGGAAAGTGAAACAAGGCTGAAAAAATGAACTGGATAATGAACCTTGTATGGAAAATGTGGCAAGTGCAGTGACAGAAGTTGCTGGGAAAGATGTGGATGGAGATAAACGCGTTTAACACACTGTGCGAGAAGAGCTGGGTAGCGTTTACCTCGCAAGCTCAGGTCAGGTTATTGATCCGCTAATGGATCTTCTCGAATGGGCAGCACGAATTCAGAGTGCTTTATGCCAAATGAAAAGCGCAGTCCTTGGTCCACCTGTTGAGTGACAATAAAATTCATCTCGTCATCATGATTCTCTTTACAATATGAGTGGTTTGACTTCTTCCTAGAGACGCAAGCTAGTTTCAAACCATGCAGAACTGAAAATAAAGACACACAAGAACGTAAAGCAAAACACATGTGACCAGCATGCGTTTGAACGATAATGTTAAGCATAACAGCTTTGTAACATGCAAGGAGGTGCTCTTGACGACCATATAGCCATGTCGTGGAGTATGTTCGAATACTGTGTCATTCTCTCACTCACAAAAAATTTATTTATCATATTATATTAATTTTCTGCTTTTTTTCTACCTCGTTCCAGCCCTTGCTACATGCATATTTCTCGCGACTCGGCAAGTTCGGGGCATCTCGGCTCGACTCCTCATACTACTCACACTTCGCTTTCTTCTCAAACCACAGAAAAACTTGGAAAACAAGCAAGGGCCTGATTGCTGGTAGTCTCAGGTACTTGAACGAGCATCCAGAGAAACAGTTTACTTGTGTCCAACTGTAAAGGATCCCGAGCACATGCCAAACTTTAATTTGTACTGTTCGAATACTTCATGTAATCTGTTTGAGTAGTGTAACCAACACTCAGCTGCAGAGTATCTGGTTCTTTCTGAGATAGAAGTCTGAAATAAAATGCCCGTTTTTGGCCCATTTTCGATTTGCATCCCGGCACTTATACCATGATGGTTTGCTTTCAACCTTTTTCCAAAGGTCTTCGAGGAATTTAAAAAGCCAAGAGGACAGTCCCTGTCCTGGGGGAGGCCCCGGGGGGGGGGGGGGGTACTCCCTTATATGAGCTATATAGGTACGTGCGGCCCCAAAGGGTTAGGTTTTTCAGCCGTTTTGGTCGCAAATAGTGTATCGATTTTGGCCATTTTAATTTGGTCTTAAATAGGGTATGGTTTTAGCGCTCTAGTCTTGAATTTGGTATGTTTCTTAGAAGGAGCTACTTTTTCATCATTATCAATAAGACATCAACAAAATCCCTTCATAACTTATGTTTAGGGCAACTGCACCTACGGCAACGGTCGTAAATAGGGTATCGAAGTTTTTGCCACGTCATAAATAGGGTAGCAAAAATCGCAGATTTTGGTCATAAATAGGGTAAGGGTTTTGGGAAGTGGGCCGCACACCCCAACCCAACTTGTCTGGGAGTAACCCCCGGGGTCTCTGTAAAGATGAGCTGCAATTTTGATTTGAACCCACAGAATGTCTTGGGGACGAAATCGGTGTCATTAGCGTCAACTTTGAACTCAGTCAGGGTAAAAGTTACCATTTTTGATATCCTGTTGTTAAGTTTTCTGTCCCTCACATTAGATTGGTTGAACTCAAATTAAAACTTTTATTAATTACTTAATGATAATCAAACAATGAATCTACGAATTTATGCTTAGTTACACGATTACTTATAATACGGTTTGAATTTCGATTGCGCCGCATCCTGATTGACAAAAGAGCTGGGTTGTCTTGCGTGCTCTCTCTATATTATAAAGCCCATATAGAAGCCAAAGATAATAAAACTATCCCGCTATTTTTGAAAATTTAAGAATGACCAGGTATACATGTCTTTAGAACACTCGAGCACGGTCCGGCTTTTCCTGCGTCTTTCCAAAATTTGTCTCTCGGTCCTGAATTCTGGTCCTGTTTTATAATTATGGCTTTCACTAATACATGTCATTTTGTTCCTGGGATGGCCTAATGAGATCTGGAACTACAGGATATCATAGAGGTTTTGCACGGCAGCCATGTTGCATGGCAGGCATAATGAAAATGTTTTGCTTTAGAAAGAACATTAATTTTTTTCCCATAGGAAAAATTATCTATTGTTCTTGCCATACATGAAACATGGCTGCCGTGCAAAACCTCTATAGCAATGAATAAAACCTTAATTTAATTCCAGAGAAAATAGACCATACTCGTTTTCTCGGAATTGGACTGGAACAGCTTGCAACTGGGGCTAATGCGGGCATTCTTTTTAAATGCAAATAGATCAGAATTTATTCCTTTTTAATGATATGAGCTTCCATTGCAAGCTAGTTCCAGTCCAGTAGCGAGGAAAGGTCTATTGCCTTTGGGACTTGAAGCAGAATTGCAGAGTAATTTAAATTTAAGTATTAGTCATGCATGTGCAAAATTTCTGATCAACTTAGAGGCTGCCTTTAGTTTCAATTCGACTCAATACTCACCGTGAAATATCGGTTTATGTAAGCCTACCTTTTCAGGGCTGTGTGCTCCAGGTCCAGGTTTTTGCGTGGAGTCTTGTGGCATGTAGTTTCTTCCATTCATAGTGTATGCAGGCATTCTCTTTTTATTTGTGTTGGGATTAGTGATATTGTATGTCCCCGGGCCGGGTGTCTAGTGACGAAACGGTAAATGAAATAAGTTTAAATATTATAATAAATTGATTTTGCACTTAAAACATGAGGACAGTTTCGTACTCTCAAGATAAAAGCTTTGTGGAAGAAACTAAAGTGATACTGCTGTTATCTTATTTTAACAACTACATAATATTTATGGTATAAATTTAATTTGACCAGTAAAGGCAAGTGCTCTCTTTCTGAATGAGATCCCTGTAATTTATATATGTGTCAGCTGGCATAAAATTAGCATGGCGTATACGGTGAAGTGAACTAATTACTGAAGAGAGTAAAACGTGCAGCTAGTCACTGTACGTGAATTTAAAGACGACTTTGAATCAGTCATGCTGTTTAAATCCTGGCCTTGATGATACTTCCTCTTCGGGTGTTACAGGCACTATATTCCGATATGGTCAGGATATGGTTAAAACTGAATAGGTGAAAAATATGTAACTATTGGGTGGGGACATAGACTTTCTACTTCCCTTGCTCTAACAAGTGTGATGAAATTTTTCGTAGCTTTATTATGGAAGATATGTATTTAAGATATTTACGTTGACTCTCACCTTTTGAAGATCTTCGCTGAATCCACCAATGGTAGAGCGGCCGCTCAGCGAGTAGGCTGGCGCCGATGCCTTGTTGACACCTTTTGGTCCTATCAGGGGTGGTAGAGAGTAAGAGTTTGGCGAGGGCGTCGGGTCTTTGAACGAATACTTGGTGCGTGTCTTGAACGTGAAGCATGGAGCTTTCGTCTCATGAGGTGGATGGAATTTTTCTGGCGAATATTGCCCTGAAACAATCGAAAAATTGGTTAAAATAATTCTACTCTGGAGAAAATGGAGCATGCGAGAGTAACCTGGAATCAATACTGAAACAAATGAACAAACAAAATTTATGAATACTTTTCTGTTGGCGTTCCTAATTTAATGCCTAACAGACCAGTGAATAATACTTTAATGGTTGAGATCTGAAAAAATTCCTGATAAATGGGACAGATCGCCGAAAATTTAGCTCATAACTGAGATCCCAGATCCAGGTCCACTTTTGACGATTTCAGATAATTAAGGTAGCCATGCTCTCAGGAGGAGTGACCGCCATTTTGTCAACAACCGCACACATGCTAGGCTACTCGCTACCTACAACAGAATAAATAGCGAGTAGCGAAGCCAATAAGAGAGCGGCATTCGTAATCATAGAACGCTATAATCTTATACTTAATGTCATGGGGTCTAGCTCTGCCTTGGCCTATTTCGATCCTCTGGCTTGCAAAATACATATCCAGTATTAATAATAACAATTAATTTACTATTTCAATGTTTTTAAAATACCTGGACCAGGTGTGAAAAAGTGTAGTTTATCTGGTGTGCGACTGTAGAGAGAAAATGCTGGAGAAGCTTCTTTCCCTTTACGCGTCACATAAGCAGGGAACATGTACTTTGGACCAGGGCTGAAACTCGAGGAAAACTCTTTGTGTCGTTGGCCAAAACTAAATGCAGGGCATCGGTGCTTTCTAATATCATGGCCCTTAATTCCTATAGTTCCCGGAAGCAGATATTTAGCGGGCCCTGGTCCCCGACATTTTGCACCGATTTCTACTTTTTCCTCCTTGCTTTCCTCGCTTTCTTCGCTTTCTTCAACAATCAGCTGGATTTCCTTGTTTTGTTGCGACATTATTTTTAAGATAAAGTTGGCGGTTTTCACAGGCTGTTTACAAAGTCTGTTTTACTTGAGTTTTAATTATGTTTGGTGGAAATTACGTCATTAATTGGCAATTAAACAGCACGTGTCAATGGAAAAGAAAGGCGCGCGAGCCGTACTTGAGTCGCAAATGCAGGTGACGTCACAAAGTTCGCAATGTTTTTCTCGGTCCTGGTGAAAGCGATGAGAACATAAAGATTATTGTTGAGAGCTTCGAAAGGCCTTATCTCAACAGCGAAATGCAATAAGAAAGTTATTTTAGAAGCATCAGATTTATCGTTTTATAAGCCAAAGATGATCAAAGAGCGAATTTTGGGAAAATTCCTTTATATGACGTGTTGACTTTAGTGCCGATAATTGAAGTTCTAATTGTTCCCGAAGCCTTCTAGTGACTGGTTCGTTCCCAGTCGGTAGCACTTCAAGCTCTCTTTTATACCAAGAGACCATGGTAGTTTACACTGAATCGTAAATCTCTGGAAAAGTAGACTAGCTAGGCGAGGCATGATATCGAGGTCATTTTGAGTCCATGTTTGCGTGCCTACTTACAGTAAACTTAAACATAAAAAATGATTAAAACGTTTACTGTTAGTAGTGTCAGATTTATTTTTCCAAACCAAAAATGACCAGAGAGCGTTGTCTGGGAAAGTTCCTATGTGTGACGTCTCGAGTTTAGTGCCGATAATTGAAGTTCTAATTGTTCCCGAAGCCTCCAGGTAACTGCCCTCGTTCTCAGTCGGTAGCATTTCAAGCTCTCTTTTACACTGAATCGTAAATCTCTGCATGGAAAAGCTTAAGAAAAAGTGCAACTGGCCAAAGAACTTTTTACTATCGTATGGTATCTCTCTGGAACGCTCTGGAATGCTCTGTCTCAAAATATTAAGTTAAGTCAATCGTTAGCTCATTTTAAGACCTTGATGAGGAAAAGACTCTCAATGGATGGCTAACTGAATTTATCTAGTACGGAATACTTTAAATCTTCTAATTCTTTCGCTTCTATTGATTTGAATTTTTAAGTTCATTTTAAATTTTATTTACATAGAATTAATTTATTGTATTTTATTGTTGTCTTGTTACATATTTCATTGAAAAACCCCTTGGGGACGTGGAATAAACGTGTGTATGTATGTATGTACGTACGTAGGAGGCATGCTACATAGGCGAGGCATGATATCGACGACACATCGAGTCCGTGTTTTGCGTACCTACTTACAGTAAAGTATTGTTTGTCCACTACAGTAAACTTAATCATAATAAATGATGAATACTTTTACTGTAGTATCAGATTTATTGTTCTAAGCCAAAAACGATCAGAGACCGTTATGTGGGAAAATTCCTTTGTGTGACGTCTCGAGTTTAGTGTCGATAATTAAAATTCTAATTGTTCCCGAAGCCTTCTGGTGACTGGTTCGTTCCCAGTCGGTAGTACTTCAAGTTCTCTTTTGCACTGAATCGTAAATCTCTGGAATAGCTTTCGTAGGAGGCAGGCCAGGTGAGGCATGATATCGAGGACATATCGAGTCCGTGTTTGCGTGTCTACTTACAGTAAACTTAATCATAAAAAATGATTAATACGTTAACTGTAGCATCAGATTCATTGTTCTAAGCCAAAAATGACCAAGGAACGTAGTCTGGGAAAATTCCTTTGTGTGACGTCTCGAGTTTAGTGTTGATAATTGAAGTTCTAATTGTTCCCGAAACCTTCTAGTGACTGGTTCGTTCCCAGTCGCTAGCACTTCAAGCTCTCTTTTATACCAAGAGACCATGGTAGTTTACAATGAATCGTAAATCTCTGGAAAAGAAGACTAGCTAGGCGAGGTATGATATCGAGGTCATATCGAGTCCGTGTTTGCGTGTCTACTTACAGTAAACTGTAGAATCAGATTTATTGCTCTAAGTCAAGTTTGATCAGGAAACGTAGTTTGGGAAAATTCCTTTGTATGACGTCTCGAGTTTAGTGTCAATAATTGAAGTTCTAATTGTTCCCGAAGCCTCCAGGTAACTGCCCTCGTTCCCAATCGGTAGCATTTCAAGCTCTGTTTGACACTAAATCGATAATAAATCTCTGGCAGAGCTTTCGTAGGAGGCAGGCTAGATAAGGCATGATATCGAGGACATGTCGAGTCCGTGTTTTGCGTACCTACTCACGGCGAACTACTGTTTGTCTACTACAGTAAACTTAATCATAATCAGAAATGAATAATAAGTTTACTGCAGTCGTCAGCCAAAAATGATCAGAGACCGTAATTTGGGAAAATTCCTTTTTGTGACGTCTCGAGTTGAGTTCTGATAATTGTAGTTCTAATTGTTCCCGGAGCCTTCAGGCGGCTGCCTTGTTCTCAGTCGTTAGTAATTCAAGCTCTCTTTACTCTAAATCGTAAATCTGGAGAAGCTTGCATAAGAGGCAGGCTAGGCTAGGCTAGGCATGATATCGAGGACACATCGAGTCCCTGTTTGTGTCCCTATACTCCTTACAGCAAACTACTGTTTGTCTACTACAGTAACCTTAATCATAATAAATGTTTAATACGTTTAGTTAGTATAGGATTTATTGTTCTAAGCCAAAAATTATCAGAGGCCGTTATTTGGGAAAATTCTAATTGTCCCTTAAGGCGACTACCTCGTTCCCAGTCCTTAGCGTTCTAAGCTTTTTTGTACTGAATAGTAAATCTCAAGAAACGCTAGCTGTGGGACAGGCTACACAAGGCATGATATCAGATCAAGTCTAAGCTATGTTTGTCTGCTTGTAAGCTGCCACATGGATAACATCTTTCCTTGATTATTTCCTTGATTATTTTTTCTTGATTACTTACTTATTATTTCAATAAACATTTTGCATTTACTCTCAATGCAGATAAAATTTTCCCGCTAAGGGTAAAATAACCCTTGTTTCCTTAAAATAGTTCAAACCATCTTTTGCTTCCATGCCTGAGTCAATCAGACCATGTTCCTTTAATTCCATAAACTCCCGGAAGGTTCAATACATGCAGTATGTAACAGCTAGTGATCAATGTGTTTTAAATGTTGAACTCTACACAGTCAAATTACTTTAAACTTTCGCTTCTTCCAGGCTTGGAAAAAATGAAGGGAAAAAACGAAAGAACAACAAAAAATTATTAATCATACTCAAACATCTGCTTTAAAAGACTTTCCCGAAATTTTTATTCATCAAAAGTAATGTCAGTGTAAAATACTGAAGGCACTTTTTTTCACCAAAACTTGCATTTTCGCTTTAAAATTTTAAAACCCTTGTCACGTACCCTGAATGCTTTCTGGTGAATTTTAGTAAGAACTGTGGTACTATAAATACTAGAGCTTAAAAAATCTTTAAGTATAAAGAATCTTTTGTGGTATTGTACGTATACTTATAGTAAACATGTAGTGCAAAACCATGTCTGGAGTAAGCTTAAGACCTACTTCTTAAAAAAAATACGATGAAAAAACAGACAAGACAGGAATTTGGCCTCGAACCTCAACAAAAAACAAATTGATTTTATTTTATGAATAATCTTTCCGGTATAATCATATTGAGTTTCAAAAACAATGTGTGAACCGATTAACACTTTCTAGCCAAATTCACACAAAGGAAACGTACATCAGTAATCTGTTGGTTTTTGCGCAAAGTTGAATTAGCAGTTTTATTCCACAAAAATTTGTACCAAAACTTACATTAAATTTCTCGTGAAGACTACATTAAAGAGGAATTGTATAAGATGTTCGCTTTAGAGCGTATGGTTAAAGCTAGAGAGCTCAAAAATTGTTCCTGTTGTGTGCTCAATGAATTAAATGTTTACACTTCAACGAGGCTGGTAACCATAAGTTACCAGACGAGAATTTTCTCCTACCTGGACCGGGAGTAATGAGTTTCGTCATTTTAGCCGGGTTTCCATCTCCCAGCATGGAATACTTGAAGCTGCCGTTCATTCCAAAGCGGTTTACTCCTTCCGTCGGAAGATGGCATGGTCCAGGGCTGTTGAACGCTTTGATCGGTTTAAGTCTTGTTCCAAAGCTGTAAGCGGGATTTCGATGTTTGGCGATGTCATGGCTTTCATATTTCGAGAGCGTTTTCAGCATGTATCTGGCGGGTCCAGGACCTCGTTCCCTCGCCGCAATTTTCGGCAATTTGACAACTTGACCATCTCTGGTATCAGGCATTTTCGCGGGTTTTGTTCGCGTTACGCGCTCTCAACTTTGCAGTCAACACACGCGTGAGCACTGTTCTACTCGGACGCTTCCAAGCGAGCATTGATTACTCCAAAAAAGCTGATGTTATGCAATTTTCAATCAATTTCATTTGCTTTTGTATTGTTTCTGGAACAAAAGAGACTCCCAAAGGAAGTCCGGCAGACTCAGTATACTTTTGATCTTTTTCTCAGTTTGACCGGCAAGTTATTTTGTCGCGTAGCTTTTTTTGTAGTTAAAAATGCTATAACACTATAACTGGTTGATATGAATCTGTTTCTATTAACAAGTACTTAAGAGTATTGCAGCACTCTCTTAAGTTGAATTAAACGCAATGCTGAAATTATAAGCCCCAAAAGTATGAGAACTTTTGTCTAGCTATTGTTTTAGGCCCGTTTTAATCATTTTTTGCTTTTATAGAGCTGAAAAGCTACCCTGAAACACAATCTCTGAGAAAGATTAGTGAAATAATGGCAGATTGACACCTCCATGGTAGTTTTTTCGTTAATTTTTGATGTCTTCGGGGAGCTTTTAAAGCAATGGCCTACCTGGTGACCATGGCGACGTTTCCACGGGGATTAAATTGAGCTTTTATTGTCTTCGTAATAATCAAAGTCTTTGAGATACCTTTTGCCCCATAGTTTAGGACGAAATTGTTAATAATGGTAATAGGACTGAGTGGAGTCCAATTCAGTCTGTAATCATACGAGTGATTAACAAATTCGGACGACCGCGAAGCGGGAGTCCGATTTGTTAATCACGAGTATGATTACAGACTGAATTGGACGACACGATGTCCTGTTACCAATTAATCATAACAGTTACAATTTCCCACAAAAGTAAAAGTTTCATTTGATAAAGAGCTTTATATTGTCATTTTAAATATCATAATTATAAAATATGGAGAACAGCTCGCAAAATGGCTGTGAAGTCTCTTTCAAAACAGTCACCAGAGACTAAACCTCCACAATTTTACAAAGTCAGTCTCAGTCAGTGGTTACTATTGTGATTGTAATCAATGTTGTGATTGGTGGATTTAGTGGAGAGGACTTAAAATGATTGGTTCATGTGACTGTCCGATTACAGGTGTCCGATTACAGCCAACTGTCCGATTACTCTGTCCGATTACAACTTTGCAGATTAATTAGAGCAAAATACAGCAGTTTATGCACCAATCACATTTGAGGAAATTGTAATTGTTATGGACTAGATTGTCCGATAATGCCAATGATTAAGCCTGGTAATCATTCTAAACCCCCTGCAAATCATTTTCGGCCTAAACCTTAATCCTAACCCTGACCTGTTTCATCTGAAGGAGATTGGGATCGTCCGGAATAACTTTCCTGGGCTTAAGTCTGCGGTAGGTAAATTTCGGCTAGTACATTAGCTAAACCTTTCACAAACTTGAGGTGTAAGTTGAGTGTGTTCAGGCTAAATTGTAAAAGCAGCGAAAAACGACCATGAATTTGCGTCATGGCAAATGCGCAATGCCGTGTTCACGTCTGCGTTTCTTTCTGGACTAAAGAAGTGTCTCTTATGCTTTTTTAGGTCATTTTTTGTATACGATAATAAGTGGGTTAGACTTCCTAAGAAGTCTTTTCGCGGCCTCGTCAGTAAGTATTTTCCGTGTTATGGTTTTTATTTGAAGACCACCCTGATCGTAGACCTGCCTCAATTTAAGTCGGCCTTGATTACCGCTCTCCAGCTTAGCGACAGGGCGATTCTTCGATTGGAAGGGACTTTTAGAAAGTCTACCCTGATCGACAATGAACTCGTATATATCAAGTCTGCTACAGTGGGTTTACTGTCTGTTAGATACAAGCACTCTCAAGTCTGGTTGCTAGGCCAGGCCCCATCCCTAAATTACCTGTTCAGACAGTCAAACAGCACATTCACACTATAATGAAATCGTATAGCAGACATGGTCACAGCCAATATTCTATTATTGCACAAGCAGACATGAGGCCCTGCCCTCAGCAGACCCTTCAGAAGCAAACGTTTCCTGGTTCTAAGGCCCCGTACGAGGGACAGGCGGGTCTGGCCACGAGACCCCCATCAGACATTGCGCTCTCCCAATGCATGGTCAAGATGGCGCACGAAATGATATGCAAAATCATTCAGAAAAGAGGCCATGGGAACCTGCTAAAATCAATTACATATGACAGATCCACAGTGGGAAAGAAAAGTCTATAGAACTAACGCTATAGTAATTATTTTTCATCGCAAGAAACCATGTGACGGAACGAATTTTGACTGCGCTGGCTTGTTGGCGTGGGACATCACTGGTAAAAGCCGTCACAAAATTCGCCAAGGTTTCGCGTCTGGCTTGAACTGATACCTTTAATAATTTACTGACGCAAAGGAATATCTCTTTTCGAACAAAATCAGTGGCAATGGATCGCCGACTTCTACGTGCATTGGTGAGGCGTTGGATTTTGACAGTCGTTTTTCACTCTTGGTGCGCTGCAAACCCGCCGGAGTTCTTTGGAATAGGAGCAATGCTTTCCTCCTCAAAGTACGAGAAAATCTTCGAAGACGCCGTGGGAAAAATAAACGAAAATTCAAGTGGTCTTCTCAGGGCAACAAAGTTGAATGCGATCTTTTATGTATTAAGCCCAAATCCTATTCGTTCGGCTCGAGATGTTTGCGAAAATTTGGTTGCTAAAGGAGTAGTTACGGTTATAGTCAGTCATCCGAAAGGTGAATTGTCTCCACCGATCTCGGTATCGTATGCCTGCAGCTTCTATCATATTCCTGTCATTGGAATTTCAGCAAGAGAGACAATCTTTTCAGACAAGGTAAGATACGTTTTATGAATCAAGTACGCGTATAATTTTAATTTTAACAGTAAAACTTAAAATAGATTGATTTTCTACAACCTCTGTGAAATTTTATAGCTTAATATCACACGTGGGAATTCTTTTTTTCCGAGCAGTTACCATGCAAATCGAATTTTTGACGGATATTTGTTTCTTGTTCATAAGAGTATGAAAAGGGGACATTTTGAACTTTGGGTGACAACATTACATGTGTAAAACATAAGCTTGAAAAGTTCAAAACTGCCAAGCATACATGATGTGTTCCGGACCGTTGTTTACAAGTCATGGTTGAGTGAACATAAATCTTCATGCACTCTGACTTGTACGTCACAAAAATATGGCATAATGTAAACCTCAAGTTTCAAGGTCTTTTTATCTGATCAGGATATGTTTTAGCTTTTCTGTCATTAAAACAGGATTCCAGTTTTTGTGAATCTAGATATCCCTTCAAATTTTAATTTTCCTGTTTCACCCATTTCTTTAAAAGTGTATTCACATATTTATAAGAAATAATGTAAATTTCACATTGCTCATGGAGTTGAATAAGTACAAATTTGTTATTATTTCAGTTTCACTTATAAGCTGAGGTTTCTTTTGAAGGTATGAATATTGTATGTGATCAAAATATATCATTAGTTGTTTAATACACTGTTGCCAGAGCTTACAGATACGTAATAAGGTTAAACCAGAAGATGATGTGAAGTTTAATTTAAAGGATTTACCGATTTGCATGAAATCTGTAGGTGGAAGTGCATTCGACACAAACATTAACACCTCAAGCTGTGCCCATGGGCTGATAGCAAATTCACAGAAGTGGATTATCCTCTTCCATTCTCATATGTAACCCTATGGTTTTTTTCCTCCAAATATTTAACATTTTTACAGCTATTTAAGGAAAACAAAAATACAGTCATGTTAAAAGTTAGAGCAAGCTTGTAGATGTTCATTCGTACATATAATGTTTATGAATTATTGATATATCTTGTATGTTCTTGTTGAACAAAAAGTAACATTTTAATTAAAAGCTTAAGGTTTTTGATGATCTTGTTAGATTTTTGTGAAAGAATTTCCTTTTAAAACTGTTCTTGATCTGTTGAACCACAGCTCTGTCTTTTAAGTAAAGCCTTGCTGCTGAAATAATTTTTGTGCCAGTGTTATTTATCTTCTATCCAAAATGACTTTAAAGTAATCATTCTATAATTTCCATTGCCCAGTGTCAACTAAAACCCCTCAACACTAACCATGCAGGCCCCAGGCAAATTGCCTGTCTGTGTGAGGACGATTTTGCCTGCCTGTTTTGACTGCCAGGAGGAAAATGTTTCCCAGAGTAAAGTTGAGGTCAAAATGTTTTGCCTGGCTGTGAATACCAAATTATCTTCCCGTTGAAAAGCTTAATAGAACCCTTTGACTATCTGTTACTTAAAATCTGAAGCCGTTGAATACCTTTTAGTGTACACAACCAAGTGTGTTCAGCCGGACATTCTGAGCAGCTGCTTTAATTTAAGATGGATTCAGTAATGGTCACCTGTATTTAAAATATTATTTTGACAAGTTGATTTCTGAAGTCAAGGCTTTAATCCTTCCTACAGTGCACATTGAAATTGCATGTTCAGTAGATCAAAATTATCATTTTATCTTGAATTTGTCAATTATTGGTTTACATTAGGTCATGGTATTCATGCCACAATACATGTATGTTTATTAAGTCATTCTGTTGCAAATCACACATGTATGACAAATTTCATAGGCTTTGAGTTTAGGCTGTGTATTTCCAGACAGGTTTTAACGGCAGGCAATTCCAAAAAGTCAATACATGTGAAGATAGTGAAGCCGTTGGCTGCACTCTACTCTTTCCTCACATTATTATGTTTGTAAATTAATTTCTGACTGCTTACTCAACACTGTACCAGGACTCAAAATTTTTAAAAAAATCTTTCATCACCTTTTAGTGACTGGTAAAGAAAAAAATAAGTGCCAATTAAATGCAAAAATGTAATCCCCAGAAGATGTAATATAGCAGAAAATCACAAATCCTCATTACATCAGTTTGTTATTCTACTTCTGGTTGCAGTTCAAAGTCTTGGGAGAGATCAATTTGACCCTGTTTTTGCAGAAAAAGCAAAACAAGAGTTAAGAAATTGTCTCCTCTTAATTAAAGATAAAAGTTCTTAGGACAAAACAAAATATTGACTGTCACCAAACTGGCAACTAGTTAAACAAGAACTTTTTTTCACCATGAAGAAAAAAGTTTTAGTTGCAGTGGCGACTGTAAGGTTAAGTCTGCATACGAGCTAAGTGGCTCACCATGCCGGAGCTTATCCTGGTTTCTGTAGCATGAAGCGACTAGGAGTATTTCTACTCCCCCCCCTCCCCTGTATGGGATGCTAGTTCATTGCATGGCTACCTCTGGCATTAAGTTTGCTGGTGTCCATTTATAATACACCCTTGTGGACAGAGGTACGGAGAGTATAGTGTTTTTCCCAAGAACACGGCACAATGTTGCCAGCCAGGGCTCGAACCCAGGCTGCTCAATTTAGAGACAAGCGCACTAGCCATAAGGCCTCCATGCCTCGCAACCCAATGGCGACTGTACGTGTCACAATTTCATGCCCTGTGTACCAAAATGTACTCTTTTGTTTACTAATGAAGATATTCATGTCTTGTTATTGCAGTCCATCCATGAGTCCTTTCTGCGTACTGTCCCATCATACTCAGATCAAGCTAACGTTTGGCTAGGGTTGTTAAAGTACTTTGGATGGTCCAAGGTCATTCTGTTAACCAGCAATGACCAGGACAGTCGTATGATTGCCACAAGGTTCACTGCTCTGGCTGATAGACATGACATCAAGGTAATTGTGTGATATGAGCGGAAAAAAGAATTAAATCTAAACATCTGGTATGAAAAGCTTTTTTAAGTCACTCAAACAAGCTGTAAAGAAAAACAGATGAGAGACAGCATTCATTCATTAAATGTTTAAGTGGCAGTTTTCTATCAAATTATAGAAACATGGAAGCTTGGGAGAAGTTCTGGAACTTTCACAAGTTTTTGAAGAAGGGTTCCTTTTCCTTTAGAAAACAAGTGTGAGGAAAGAAAATGATTTTTTTTTTGATTATCATAATGTACAAGTCATGAAATTATGTACACTATGTTGTATGTCATATGTAACATGACTGTATAGCTCATGCCAGTTGTGTGTTCTGTTGATATTTTTGAAGTACACATTACAGTATGAAATTTCTTACAGGGCTTATTAATAGTATCTTTTAAAATTTATTGTTCCCTTTCAGATTGAGAAAACCATCATGTTTCCCACTGGATGTACAAATGTCACATCCCATTTGGTGAAGATGAAGAAATTACAATCAAGGGTCATTCTCTTCAGTGCCAGGTTTGATTCTTCAGCCCAGCACTCTTCTTATAGTAGACATGTTAAGCTGTATACCTTCAAGCAGTATGCGTTTTAGCAATACTGCTCCAGGTCTCTGAGGTTCATGCAAATGATGGAGTAGGCACTAAGAAATGTGGATATGTTGAATACAGCAAAAAAGAAAACAAAAATCAATTTTCAAAATAATTCTAATTTGCTATGGCATGAAAATTCCTTGTGACTTATTTGGAGTCATTCTGCCGCAGTGTATGATGTATTTTAATTTACATAATACTGACAATATATGCATGTTAAGATCTCATATTAATATTCTGTGCTTCATTAGTGAGGAAGATGCAGCCATTGTGTATCAGAATGCTTCAAATATGAAGATGACTGGAGAGGGTTTTGTTTGGCTTGTAACACAACAAAGCTTTTCAGGAAATGCTCAAAGTGTTTTGCCACAAGGTATCACTTCCAATAAATTATTGCCATAGGTGTGCCAATATTTATGATTTATAACTCAGTTTGCTGCAATCCTCGGTCAAATCAAAGACCTCCCGTGAGTCATCTGGACCACTTGTGAGTGGGCAACATTTTGTATAATATAAAGAATGTTATAATTTTTAACCTGGGGCCTGTAATATTATAATGACCTTCGTTAATTTAAGGTTCATGTGAAAGTTTATTGGTACATTTTTCCTCTAAATGTCAGTTGAATTTATCACCTGTAAAACTTAATTTCTTTGTCATCTGTTTTGGTTGACAAGTACATGTGTTCTTTAAGGTTATTCTTTCCTTTCTGATGGTGAAAAAGTTTTTTTTTTTTTATTTAAAGAGGATGGAAATACTGTCTTGAGATTGATGAGGGTATATGCCTTGTTGATTGTGTACTTGTTACAATAATGCATGAATAGACCATGTTCGATATATCAATATTCTAACATGGCTGTGAGGCTTTTGGGTCAAAATTGTAGATTTTTCAAGTTTCTTATGTCTCTCAATTCCCAAAAGAAACTTAGATACTCAGGGCTGTCATTAGTAGCTGGCTACTCTGACAAAAATTGCCGGCTACTTCACTCACAAAATGACACTGAAAGTTTAGATACTGAACAAGTCTGACCAGCATATTCATTTCCTTGGTAGAAATGTGAAAAGTAAAGCACCTTATTTCCGAATTGCAGGCTTTTCTTGCAAGAAAAGTAATGACAAAGTAGGTTTCTCAATATATCATAAAGTCTGTGCTAGCGTGCTGCATAGCGAGTAGTTATCAAGACTCGTCTCTGCTGTTACAGTGTGACATTGCACGTGACTGAAAAGCCACATGTGTTTGTAATATGGCTGCAAAGAGAAGACAAGGTTTGCTGGATAATTTTTTCACCATTGTTTCTAAGATGCCAAAAGATGAGTGTTTGACATTTTTAACTTCAACCACAATAAGGTTTCCTGAGAGTATCGTTTTTTTTGGCACAAGACAACTTGATATGATTAATTAACATTTCAAGAGATTCATTGAACCGGAATGAATGTTTTTCTGATAGCACTGCAGGAATTCTATGAGGTAGTTTTCACTGAGATCCCCTAGCTCCCTGTAGCTCGTCCTCAAATGTCAGAGTACTAAATAAAAATCTCTCACCTTAATACTTCATTCCACCAATTCGATAAAATTCGATCAAACTGTTTCACCAGGCAACAAACTCGAGTTTATTTGTAACATTTATAGACAAAGACTTCTATTATTTTTTATTTTCTCTAAATATTATTATGGGGATAAGAAGGCCTGCCTTAAAATGTCTCCAGGAAAAGGCTTAAAATGGTATTTGCATGTGGGCTTCTGAAACCCTAGCAGGCGCAGGAAGAGCTTACTGCAAATATTGACTTAATAAAAGTTTTGCTCTCGATTGTGATTGTCTTTCTGGTGGGAAATACCTCTTGAAAATGCTGGAAATGGCATTTGCAAGACTCTAGATTTCAAAATTTTCTCAGGGGGGAGGGGTTGTGTGTGTGGGGGGTGCTTACTATTTTTTTATCAGCCATCTACTTCAAAACTTACTGACAATAAATATATAAAACAACTGACTAATGATCAATACTGTTCTTTTCAAGAAGTGAGACTTGTTAGAATTCCTCTGAGAAAAGGCAATTTTTGGCAATGTCAAAACGTTAAATTCAGTTTGCTTCTGGGGGCTTTGCCCCCTGGACCCCCAACAGGAATCTGCCCCTGTACCCTGCTGGGGGCCTTGGCGGCCCCTAAACCCCCTGCCCATGGGGGGGGAGGGGGGGGGNTTCCGCCTACTTCAAATCTTATTGACAGCCCTGGATACTGAGAAAACACCACCAAATATAGAAGTTTGTCCTGAAAGCCTCGGAGCCATGTTAGAATATTGATATATTACTATGCTTATCAATAGAAATCTAGTCCACTTCTGCCATGCATATATAGATATTTTTACCTTGATGGCAAATGGCTATGACCAGTACAAACACTACATTATAATAATAAAAGTTGACTGTCACACAGGTGCCATTGGAATGCGATTACTTCATGATAATGAATCATCTCAGGTCCAGGATGCTGTGAAGCTGGTTGCAACAGCCCTTGACAGGCTGGTGGCTGCAGGGGAGTCCTTGTCTCCACCCACTGCCAGCTGCCGAGAAACCACACAGTGGGACAGTGGTCCAATTTTGTTCAAGTGGGTGTCTTAAAATAATGTTGCCATCTGTCTCCTTTTGTCATTTTCTGTCCTTTAGAAACCAACATGAGTCAACTCTCCCAAAATGGACACCATGTTATGGTGCAGTTTAGCTGGACTCAGCTGAATTTCACTAGCTGATCTGCTATGGAATGCTCTTCAAAGTAGACATCTAGAACTGCCAAGTCTCCCAAATGAGTCTGTTGTGGAGAGAGTTCACTCGCATGTGTCATTGTTAGTAAATGATGTGAATAAAAAAATCTTATGTTTTTGAATTGTCAAAAATTGAGTGAGCAAAGTTGTTGGTTTCTTGAGAAACTGTTAGGCTGAGTTGGCAGGTAAGTGAAACACCTTACTGTAAACTTGAGGTTGATAAAGGTAAATCAACTGCCACAGTGGCTTTGTAAAAGCTGACATTTTATGTGTGCACCATTTGTCAGAGCAGTTGGCTTTGATGATAGGGTGGATCCTTGAATTGTCAGATTTGCAAACTCTGATCAATTACTGATGGCTGGCCAAAAATTCATCAACAAATCACCAACTTTGCGATAAATGTTGTTAATGTTTGAAAACCTGATCGGTCAACTTTTGACCAACAGTTGGCCATTTTTCAAATGACTGTCAGCCATTTGTTGGCCAATTGTTTACCAACCGTTAGCTTTTTGTTGGGGGACAGTTGGCTACAATCTTATTTTTCTGGGGGCTGTTCTTCACTTTTACTAACAACTTTTAATTGTGTTTTTAGGGAACTTGTGAATACCACCCTTGTTGATGGCAAGACTGGTAACATCATGCTGAACAGAAAAGGTGATCGTATCAATGCTGTTTATCAGATCGTCAACCTGAGGAAGAAGGCTGATACACAGCTTACAGTTGTTGGAGAGTATCGTGATGGGAATGTGGCAATTTCCAAAACAGTTTTTTGGCCAGGGGGTCAAGATG